TGGTTTGCAAGTTGAACAAATCTCTATACGGTCTAAAGCAGGCACCGAGGTGTTGGTATAAGAGATTTGATTCCTTCATTATGTGCCTTGGATACAACAGACTTAATGTAGACCCTTGTGCTTATTTCAAGAGGTCTGGTGATAACGATTTTGTTATATTGTTGTTGTATGTTGATGACATGTTAGTTGCAGGACCCAACAAAGATCATATTGAATAATTGAAGGCACAACTGGCTAGGGAATTTGAAATGAAGGACTTGGGATCAACAAACAAGATTCTAGGGATGCAAATTCACCGAGACAGAAGTAATAGAAAGATTTGGCTTTCACAAAAGAATTACTTGAAGAAGATCTTATCAAGATTCAACATGCAAGATTGTAAGTAAATTTCTACCCCCTCTTCCTATTAACTTCAAATTATCCTCCAGTATGAGTCCTAGAAGTGAAGAAGAGAGGATGAAGATGTCTCGAGTACCGTATGCATCGGCAGTGGGAAGTTTAATGTTCGTTATGATATGCACAAGACCATACATTGCATAAGCAGTGGGAGTGGTTAGTCGATACATAGCGAATCCAGGCAAAGAGCATTGGAATACAGTGAAGAGGATCCTAAGATACATCAAAGGGACCTCAAATGTTGTATTATGTTATGGAGGATCAAACTTACTTATCAATGTGTATGTCGATTCTGACTATACAGGAGATTTGGATAAAAACAAATCTACTACAAGATATGTGTTTAAAGTTGTTGGTGGAGCTGTAAGCTGAGTTTCAAAATTGCAGTCAGTTATGGCTACGTCCACAACAGAAGAAGAATATGTAGCAGCTACACAAGCCAATAAAGAAGCAATTTGGTTGAAGATGCTATTGGAGGAGCTTGGGCACGATCAAGAGTGTGTCTCTCTATTTTGTGACAGTCAAAGCGCCTTGCATCTAGCAAAGAATCCAAGATTTCATTCAAGGACAGAGCACATACGACTTCAATACCATTTCATTCGTGAAAAGGTGGAAGAAGGGACGATAGATATGCAAAAGATCCATACCAAAGACAACATAACAGATTTCATGACGAAGGCGATCAATACCGATAAATTTACTTGGTGTTGATCCTCTTGTGGCCTGTCAGAAACGTAAGCAACATGATGGCACAAGGTAGAAAGAATGGTGTGAGATTATTGACTAAAGCACCGAAAGGTGATTTGTTTTTTTTGTTGAAAAAATGGATGGTATATTTACACACTTTAGTCACTAAAATTTAGGGTATTTACAAATTAGTCCTTAAGCTTCAACTATAAATACCCTAGCTCATTTAGCTTCAAAATCATCCCAAAGCATTCTAGCTTTCTTTCAATACAAGAGAAACAGAGAATTTCTTGAGAGTTGTTTTCTCCTTTTTATCAAGAGAGAATTATCATTGTTTTCTCCTTGGTAGTTCGAGAGAAGCTGTAATTCCTATTTTCTCATAGTGAAATTCTTCTATCATTGCCCGTGGTTTTTACCCTATATTATTTAGGGGTTTTCCACGTAAATTTTGTGTCTCTTTTATCTTCAATTTTTATTTTCTCAAATTATCAGTTGCGATTTTGCTCTATCCGATAGCCGTCTTCCGCAACACTAAGAAATAGGTTGAGATCTAGAATGTTAATATTTTTACTAATAAAATATGTTACACCCAATAATGTCATGGTTCACTAAGAAATAGGTTACGATTTGGAATGTTAATATTTTTATTAATAAAACGGGTTGCTCTAAAGAATATCATGGTTTTGTAAGAAATAAGTTGCGATATAGAATGTTAATATTTTTATTAACAAAATGGATTGCACCCAAGAATGTCATGATTTACTAAGAAATAGATTGCGATCTGGAATGTTAAAATTTTTATTATAAATTGGGTTGCACACAAGTATCGATAGTTGCGAATTAAAAAAAACATGGAAAATGAGAATGCTGTAAAGTATCAATATTTTTTCACAAGTATTGATACTTTTTCACAAGTATCGATACTTCTATAATAAAAATTTTAACATTCTAGATCGTAACATATTTCTTAATGAAACATGATATTCTTGAGTACAACCCATTTTATTAATAAAAATATTAACATTCCAGATCGCAACATATTTATTAGTGAACCATGACATTCTTAGGCGCACCTCATTTTATTAATAAAAATGTTAACATTCCATATCACAATCTATTTTTTAGTGAACCATGACATTTTTGGACGTAACCTATTTTGTTAATAAAAATATTAACATTCCATATCACAACTTATTTCTTACTGAACCATGATATTCTTTGGAACAATCCATTTTATTAATAAAAATATTAACATTCTAAATCGCACCCTATTTCTTAGTGAACCATGATATTATTAGGTGTAACCTATTTTATTAGTAAAAATATTAACATTCTAGATCCCAACCTATTTCTTAGTGAACCATGACATTCTTGGTGCAACTCATTTTATTAATAAAAATATTAATATTTCAGATCGCAACTTATTTCTTAATAAATCATGACATTCTGTAGTTTTGAATCCACCTGTTGTTCCACACGCAATAGAGGAAACTATATTAACACCCTCACTATTCCATAGTTTCCTTGGCAGACCTTGAGTAACTTCGGATAATTTGGTTTCTTGAAGGAAAACTATCGTTGGTTTACATCTTTGAATCCGACGACTAGCAGCCCTTGCTTTCTCCGGCCTACCCAAACACCTCCCATTTTGTTAAATGAACGGATATGAAAGATTCAAAAAAAAATATGAATAATTCAATTTTGTTTAATTTAATTTGGTCAGTGATCGAAATAATCATTTTATCTTTTTATGATTATCTTCCCTATAAGAATAGGTTCATTTCAAAAGCTATAATCACAAAGTGGACTCCTCACCAAAAAACCAAGTGTTTGGATGTATGTGTAGCACAATAAAATGATTACAGCCCTATAATTATATCAAATTGGTGCATTCATTGGGGTTTTTCTTTCTGCGCACTTACTCGTGGACCCCCAAACCTTCCCACTTTGTCTTGGAGAAAATACATGATTCCCCAAGTGAACGTGTGGCTCCTTCCATGGACTGTGCTCGATTAAAAGCGATCCACATCTTCCCTTAAGGGTAACTTGAGATTATTCATCCATTTCAAAATTTCATCAATTTACTCAATAAGTACACACAAGTTAAAGAATCAATTTCTCCCTTACTTTAAAGATGTTGTCTAAAGAGAGTTTAAAGATATTTCTCGATATCCGAATTAAAAAAAAATTATGATCGTTGATCTATCGATCATGGTTTTATTTGTCCAAGTATCATGAAAACCCCCATAAAATTTTGAAAGACATGTCAAAAAGAATGATTTCTAACTCGTATGATGTTTCATACATTGATTTAATTGTACCCAATTGAGCACTTCAACTGTAAAATTTAAATAAATCTTTTGACTTGCGTCGATCGTTAACTTTATTGATGTGATTGTTAATGAACGACAATGTTAACATCTTTAGATGATATTTCATGTGAATTATCAAATGAGTAAAATTTAATTGTATATTCATTTGTCAATCGCTACGTTAAGGTGTTTAATAGTCAATATCGTCCATACACTTAGTTAAATTTTATTATTGAAGAATTCAATAGGATACCGAAGATCGTATGAGGCTTAATTGATTTTTTTAAATAAATTTCAGATTTTATTTTACCAATAAACTTAAAAAGGTTTGAATTTCAATGATTATATTGTTTTCTGGTTGAGTGTCTTTTACATTGTGGAATTGACGTGCACGTTTTTTGTGATGTACAAGATTCACTGAATGCAATGATCGAAGCTAACAGAATTTCATAATGTAGAAAAATATATTTTGTATGCGAAACTTAATCACAATGCATTAGATGTTAAGCATTCGTGCACGTTTATCTCCGAAGCGGTTGACAATGGTAGATCTAGAAATATTTTTTTAGAATGGGCACACACATATTAGTTATTGAAACTTTTCGTAAGAATAAAAAAAATTTAAGATAGACACCTATAGTAAAATAAACAACTTATATAAATAGATACATGTCCACTCTGAATATGCTCAACATCTAGAGTTGGCTGTTGGTAGAAACCAAGTATAACTTTCCCTTTTTTCGACATTTTCATAATAGCCGTTATTGATTTGAATAGCATGAGTGTCATGCACTCTTAAAGAATCTATACAATAATTATTGCGGTAGTGCTAGCGGAGGGGATTTAGCGACGTTTAAAAACGCTACTATATGATTAAAAAATGTCGTTAAAAACATATTTTGTTGAGTGTTTACAAAATCATAGCATATAATGGAGGATTGGGAGATTGATTTTTTTTTTGGGGGGATAATTCGTTGTTTTATTTATCCAAGAACAGAATCATATTACAAAAGAAAGCAACAGAATGCAGAAACCATGATCAACCTATACAAAAAGAATCAGATCATCCTATACCCCAATGAGCACATAGAGAAGTATTAATACTATCATTCCTATTAATATTTCTATCACTTAATTGAATTCTAACAATATCCTTAATGATTAGGAAAAGATCCTGGAAGTTTCTGGATCGAGCTTGAAACAAGCATTTGTTGCGTTCATCCCAAAGAGTATTAGATAAGAGCTGTTAGAGCAATTTTCATGATCAAAGTTAGAAGGGATTTTCCTTTCCATTTGGTGCTTGCCCACAAGATAAGATCATCCCAAGAACAAATGTTGAATTGCATGCCAGAGGAGGAGAAAACAGCAGTCCATAGCTGGTTAGCCATAGGACAAGAGAAGAATAAATGTTCTCTTGTTTCACAAGGATCATCACAAAGAAGGTATTTTCTGTCACTGATAAGCCCCATATGGTAGAGTCTTTCTCTAGTTGGGAGACGATAAAGCCATCCAAGTGATTAAACTAAATTTAGGAATGTGTAAAGGGAACCAAATATTTTTTGCCATGGTACTTGAGGTCTTTTATCACGAAAATCATCCCAAATATCAGTAATTTTCTCCGTTCCAGCAGTAAGGATGGGATAAGCCATAGCTCAAAGCTTGAAGATACGCCTTAGACTCCAGCTGAAGGAAGAACATATATCAACACTCGAAAAATCATTGCCTTTTAGTACATATTTATTTATCTATGCCACCCATAATGACCCTTCACCAGCCAGAATTTTTTTGATGAGGAAAACAATAGAGGCTTTATTCCATGTTTTCAAGTCTTTAATTCCTAGGTCCCCTTCTGATTTTAGGTGACAAATTTGCTGCCAACTCACCCTTGCTCCGGTTGCTGATTTATCAGCCCCTTTCCAGAAGAATCGCGAATAGAACTGCTCGAGTTTGCTTAAAACTGATTGAGGCAGAAAGATTTACCTACACCAGTAGTTTGTGATGCTAAATAAAATAGTTTTGATGAGCTCTAGTCTACCAGCATAGCTTAAAGTTTTAGTAGTCCAGTGATTAAGTCTTGCTCTAATATTTTCAATAAGAGAAGTGCAGTCCTTATCCGAGATTTTTCTAGAGACCAATGAGATACCTAAATAACGCACAGGTAAACTGCCATTATTAAAACCAGTGACCAGATGAATTTCCTCAAGAGTTGTAGTGTAACACCCCTAACCCGTATCCGACCCGGATACGAGTCCGAAGTGTCACATTGATTTTTCAAACATTTATTCGTATAAAATAATGAGTAATTTAAAAACTTTTATAACATTTAACTTATTCAAAACGTTTACAAAATATATCAGAGTTCATACAATTTATATCTTTAGACTACATGCCAACTACACTCTATATACAATACATATATTTTCTGATCTGATATTTGGTAAGGATAATTGACCTGTCTTGCTCCGTATTACTCTTTACTCTTCTCGAAACCTACGTGTGAAACAATCACACGCTAAGCCGTTGACTTAGTGAGGCAATAAATAAACATATAACAATAAATTCATGAATGTGCATTCATACCATTGAATCATGATATTTCAATATGCATGTATCTATTGCATGATAACAATATATAATCATGTCATACACACATGCAACATACCTTCTTGCATTACTTTCACTTTCATTTGTCTTTCAATTGCATTGCCCATGTATATTATTATCTTTATCAACATCATTATAATTCAGGGAACACATGTTATATCACCAAAAGTATAAACATCACATATATTGTATTTGTTATTGTCTTTTTATTCGCCCATGATACCTACGTGTAAATCACTTACTTTTGATAACCATTTATAAATCCATCGTATACATATCACATTCAGTATGTTTGTTTAATCTCTTTATTAGCCCATGTACACTAGTGAGAACTTAAGGTATGTGAGTACATTGAGGTTGTGCACACATATGCTGTCACCACAGCTCGATCAATGTCCCGAAGGACCTATCCAGAGGTCATAAAGATCCTCGGTAACTATCCAGAGGTCATAAAGATCCTCGGTAACTGTCCATAGGTTCCGAAGAACCTAGGTAAACTGTCCATATATTCCTTAGAACATAGGTATACTGTCCATATGTCTCGAAAGACATAGGTAATTCTGTCCATATGTTCCTTAGAACATAGGTATACTGTCCATATGTCTCGAAAGACATAGGTAATTCTGTCCATATGTTCCGTAGAACATAGGTATACCCTCAACTATTGGCATGCCAACTATACCACTAGCTCTCTTATCATATAACATGGGCATTATCATTTATAACAGTCAATTTACTTATTCATATCCTTTTTCTTATGAACATATATCTTTTCTTTTCAGTCGCGTACCAAATGTACGTGTAATCATTGATCTTATAATCACATGTTCATTCTCTTCTGTCACATACCATATGTGTGTGTAAACATATATATCATAAACATGTATTTATGAATCTCATATCATATCACATATTCACATAAACATATAATTCACATATTACATGTACCTTTTCTCATATATCTCATATCATATAATTTATGCTCTGTCCTCTTATGTTCACATGACATAATGCATACAAATCATATTCACACATGTTTTTACTCATGAATTCATACATGATAAAAATCATGTCATTCACATATTTAAATTTATTACTTCATGTACTATAATTATAGGAAATAACACTTCTCTGGTGTTCATATGACATGTAAATCATTGTCATATTTTGTTCTCATATGTTTCCCATACATCACATATTCATATAGGCTCACGATTTTTATCACCTATCATGTTATTTCACATATACACTTTTATTACATTAAAAGATGGACATGTAGTCTTATGTGACCTATCAATACTATCTGTTCATATAATCTCCTTTTACCTTATAAGTAAATACTACTTATTTTATCCCACCTTTCTATTTATTCTCCAAATTATTTATATCAATTCACATGGTTTATTACACAACTTATATCACCTTTTCATGTATTACAGATATCTTGTTGCATATCTTATATCTTGTCATCATATCATTACATACAAAAACATGTCAACACATATAATCAAGCATACATACATTTCATGTCATTCACATACTTATAATCAAGACTTCATGCACTATAACTATAGGAAATAGACTTATCACAAGTCCAATTTCCATATAATTCTATAAAATAAGATGCACTCACCTTAGCTTTGCTTTGATTCGATTCTAATCCTTCAATTGTTTCTGAATGGGACCACGTTCTATATCTACATAATCATACATAGATCTATATTAGTATTATAACTAATATACTTTAATGGTTCACTCTTTAGATTAAGATAAATGTCAATTTCTTCTTTCAATAAGGGTATGCATCGATGCACTACTGATGCATCGGTGCATAAAATACATTCGATGTTGTATTATTATTGGGATGCATCGATGCATGCCTTATGCATCGATGCACTAATTGCATTCGATGTTTCTATTTTAAAAGAGTGCATCGATGCACTACCTGTACATCGATACACCTTCAAACAAATTTCTGGGTTTTAACCTTGATGCATCGATGTACAATGAATATGCATCGATGCACTCTGCCTAGAATCCTCTTTTTGAACCCGAAAATCATTTATTTTGGATTAAATCATTCATATTTCATCCCCTTTTTCATTCTTAACTCTAGTACACATACTTAAAACAATCTATACTCATATATTTCATTTTAAACCTTAAAATCCTATCTTCCATATGTAATTCAATAATTACATCAATTTTGCAACATGTTTCAAATCCAATTATATTACTTCATATCTCTTACTTATATTGATGACAAGTCAAATCCAACTTTCAATTCTTATTATAAACTCTATTTCAAGATTTCATTCAAGAACCACTAATCTTTAATCTTCTCTATCTCCTTTATCTTTTGATTTTAGGACAACCTAAGCTTTCCATAATCTTAAGTATTACCTAAGGATCAAAACCCACTCTTAAAATCAACAAATCATCAGCTAACAAGGAATCTTACCTTTGCCTTGGAGCTTTCACGGGAGGAAAAAGAAAATGAAGAAGAAAAGAGAGAAGAGATTTCTGGAAAATCTCTCATCCTTATCCATATATATATATATATATATCATTATTTAATTCATCTCTTGGTCAAATGACCCTTTTGCCCTTTAATACCTTTTATAATTACTAACATCTTTTAGGATTTATTTTCAGATAAATCATTGAACTAATCCATTCTTCTACTTTAATCACCAAATTCTAAAACTTTACAATTAAGTCACTAACCCATAGTTTGGGATGTTATATGTAGAGTGTAAACCAGCAGCATAAAAGTCACATTTTGAGGCATTAAGCTTTAGGCCAAATATCTCATAAAAAAGATCTAAGACACTAGTGACCCCAATGACAGAATCAATCGAACCTTTACAGAAAATTAAGAGGTCATCAGCAAAGGAGAGGTGAGTGAGGCCTATTCTTTTGAATTTTGGATGGTACCCGAAAACACCTCTTGCAGCTGCTAGATTAAGAAGTCTAGAGAGGACATTCATTGAGAGAACAAATAGCAAAGAAGAAAGGGGATCTCCTTGTCTAATTCCTTTGGCTCCTTTAAAAAAACCAATTAAGGTCCTATTGAAGGCTATGAAATACCTTGGTGTAGATAAGCAAATTTCAATCCATTTGATGAAGATTGGAGGCAGACCAATAGCTTTAAGAATGACAGAGATGAAATCCCAGTGAAGAGTATCAAAGGCTTTATGGAGATCGATCTTAAGGGAGCATCGAGGAGATATATTTTTTCTATTGTAACCTCTGACCAATTCTTGAGTAAGAAGAGTATTATCCACAATGTTTCTTCCTTTTACAAAAGCAGTTTGGTTTAGGGAGACTAAATCAGGAATGAGTTTTTGTAGTCTGCTAACCAGAATTTTATATATAGCCTTGTAAAAAACTGAACAACATGAAATTAGTCTAAAATCCTTAACTTTGCTTGGGTTAGGGATTTTATGAACCAATGTTACGATTGTAGCATTAAAAGCTGGGAGAAGAGAAGACTCAATAAAGAAGTACTTAACAGCAGCAGTGACATCTTCTCTTATGATGTGCCAAGCTTTTTTGAAAAAGAAAGGAGTGTAGCCATCTGGCCCAGGAGACTTGTCATTTCCTTGACAAAAGAATGCAGTCTTAATTTCCTCATTAGTGATTTCCTTAATAAGATCATGAGCATTGTCCTCAGTAATAGCGGACTGCAGAATGTCTTTCAACAAGAAAGGTTCAATAGCTTTCACCTCATAGTCAATAGTGCCAATCAAGTTAGTAAAAAAATTAATCACTTCTGCTGACATAGAATCAAAAGATTCCAGCCTGTTACCATGGTCATCAACAAGGATTCGAATGGTATCCCTTTTATGCTTTAGAGCAAGAGCATAATGGAATAATTTGGAACATTTATCGCCCTCTTTAAGCCATTGTATCTTTGATTTTTGCTTTAAGAACAGAGTTTCAGCTGATTCGAGAGATTTAAGATCGTTTTGCAACTGAATTTCCTTTTCAATAGAACAAAGTTTCAGCTGATTCGAGAGATTTTGTCTCTTCTTCTTCTTCATTATTTTATATAAAGATCTTATATTTGCATAGGAAAACCCTAATTTGGATTCGGTATGGAAGAAATTTTATATTTTAAGGTTTCGAGTTTGGATATATTATTAGTAGAGAATTTAATGTGGGTAAATTTTTTCATATTTTAGATTGGATTTAGATTTAATAAGAGTCTCGTACATCTATTCAATTTCGTACGGCCTCAAACAATATATATATACCTCATGTTTTATAAATGTTTATAAGTCTTTGTACTATTTTAAAATTTTATAAAAATATCAATGTGAATTAAAACTATAATTAAGAATATATTTTAGTCCCCTAAATCATTTTTAAATTTACAATATTTTTTATAAATATTTAGGGTCAGTTTGATTCTAAAGAATATTTTTCTATTTTTGTTTTTTGTTTTATTTTCAGAAAATAATTTTCATTCTTAGTTTTTTAAAAATTTAAAAACATATTTAGGTAATATGAATTAAAACTTGAATTCATAAATAAAAATAGTGAAAATATATTTAATAACTATTTTTTAAAAATATAGCTAAATAAATAGTTATTAAATAATTACAATATAATTATTAAAAAATTTCATTACTTAAATTTAACATGTGAGTTACAAATATAAAACAATAAAGTTGATAATCAATTTCATAACACAAAAAATATTTTAGTTTATAATAAGAATATAATGTTATTGCATATTGAACATCGATAAAATTAAAAAAATACACATAAATATTGTTGCAAGCAAGAAATGTCATTAAAATAAAGAATGTGTTTAGCAGGGTTTTAAAAAACGGTCCGCGACCGCGATTTCGGCCGTGATATAGCGGTTTCGCCGCTGTCCGAGTTACCCGTGACGGCCGCAATAGCGTCCGCGACGGCCACAATAGCGCCCGCGACGACCTCAATCACGGTAAATCCGAAATAACCGAAACTGCGACCGCGATTTAAAATCCTGGTATTTAGTATCATTTAAGACCCTCAAACCTTTGAAAAAAGCTAGTATAGCCCCTAAACATATTTTGTACTCAATGTGACCCTTAAACTGAGGAAAAAAATCAATCTAACACTTTGACCAACGTAATCAAACATTGACTATCACGATGCTTGCATGATAGTTTACAAAGCTTACATGAGAATCTACAAAGCTGATGTGATAGTTCACGATGATATTGTAGCAGTACACGATGAATAATGATGTGGTAAATGGATTTAATTGATTTTTTGACTAAATTTGGGGACTTAATTGAATTTTTAAATGAGGGGTTATTTATTTCTTAGAAAAAATAAATAAATTATTTAAATCTAAATTTTAAAATATAAACAATTATTAAGATATTTAACATATTAAATATAAAATAATACAAAACTAAATTATTAAAAAAATCATATTGAGGACCACATTGAGTGTAAAATAAATTCAGGGACCATATTTTTTTTTGCAAAAAATTGAGGGTTTCAATACCATTAAGCTAAAAAAATATTATTTGGAAGGATTTAAACCCGTGTAAGTTAATTAAAAATTTATATCCCTTATTTTTCTATTTTTTAAATTTCTAAAAAAATTGTGAAAATAATGAAAACATTGTTTTCATATTTTTACTTATTTTATTTTTATTTTCTAGAAATTATTTTTTAATTTTTCAACCAAACATGTTTTCTTCAACGTTTTGTATTTTCTAAGAATATAAAAATAAAAATAGCATATCTTTTCTAGAACCGAACGGACTCTTGTTTTTACTAATTAAATATTGTCTTAGTAGCTATAAAAAGATTAAAAAAAAACTTTTTAATCTCTTATATTCACAATTTTAATGAATTTAATTATTAACTATAGAACACATCAAGCGACTTCAGTGGTTAAATAAAATGTTGTTCTTTCTAGAGATCAAAGGACGAGTAGTTGCGCCTATAAGATATGTATACATTATTGATAGCTAAAAAAATTTCCAAACATATATTATCTTGTGATCACTTTAAACTACTGAAATTTAAATTGAATCAATACCTATTTTCCAAAAAATAATATATAACTTTTGCAACATCTATTCTTTTTAAGGTTAAACTAAAACATTTCTCTTTATGAAATTAGATTTGAATAAACAAGAGATAGAGAGGTAAATGTTTACAATGTAAATTCAGTGGAATCGATTCGTTTATATTTAGTGTCGAGATTTACTTTAAAAAAAATGATACTCTATTGAGCTCCATATGACAAATAACATGGAAGGATCGAGGGAAGCGGACGGAGCAGTTTCCTCTGAAAATTTAAAAATATCATATAATTAAATTTTTTTATATGTTTTCTATTAAAAATATATTTTTGTCCTCCTGAAATTTTGTATGTTTAAGTTCTTCGTCTTTAACACAATATTATTTCCGTCTTGACAATAGATCGAAAAGGTTAAATTATTTGGAAAAATAGTACAAGTAGAAATTTATTTTGAGATCTACGATATTTGTTACAGTGTTCAAGACTTGTCACGTCAAAGAGACGAGTTCCAATGATGAGTTTGAATAAAAAAATATTTTTTATTCAAACTCGTCATATTGATGTGACGAGTTTCGATAAAATATAATTTTTTATTAAATTTTATCACATCAAGATAAAAATTTAAATATAAAATATTTTTTATTAAAACTCATCACTTCGATGTGATGAGTTCCAAATTAGTGTAGAAAATATTATATATTCTTAGTTAAATTTGTATATGTCATATAAGACTAATTAATTAAATTGTTTATCCTATTGGGAAAAAACGAAAAGGATGTGTCCAAAAGAGAGGTGTCCATATAATAAGCAAAACCCTAATATAAATCCTAAGGGATAGGGAAGTTTTTATAGTTTTCATTATCAGACCATCTAAGAGCCCAACGAAAGATTTTCCTTTGTTGATTTTTTGGCCCAATACCTCAAGCAGGTAAATTATTTAGGTTATTGGGTCTACCTAGAAATTATTTTGGGAAATATGGTATTCTCTACAGGGAATATCGAACTCGTCATGTTGATGTGACGAGTTTACTCAAATATTAATATTTGATGGTCTCGCGTTGTGGGTCTCACATGTGCCATTATTTTATTTGAGTTTTAATAACTCGCCACATCGAGGTGACGAGTTCAATAAAAAATATATATATAAATTTACAAAAACAATAGACGAACTCGTCACGTTGATGTGATGAGTTCCTTCAAATTCAAAATTACTAGTTATTTTCTAGTCGTTTGTCAACGGGCAAACAGGGCAACGGTCACGTAGAACTCGTCACCTAGAGCTGACAAGTTCGGCCGAGATTTAAAAAAAGTAGCCATTTATAGTCGTTGGGGGAATGCTATACATATGGGTTTTGGGTTTTCACTAAACCCTAAATTCAAATAATTACAAAAATTCATACGTTCAGTTAAAAAATGGCAACCCAAGAATATATGTTGCGACAATCCAACGCATGGCAGACAACGATGAATGAATAGTCGAGGGATGACAACCAGATATCCGCATCAACGGATGATGACGTATCTATATCAATCTAGTATATTTTTGACCTTATTTTTACGTGGCTTCAAGATGTACCTGGTGTTGATCGAGACTCTGATTGAACCTTGACAGCCCGAGACACACACGTTCCACTTCCCAAGTAGTGAAGCGACAATTACTCTGGAAGACGTCGCTTACCAACTTGGTGTTCCGGTGAATGAACCCCCCGTGGTTGTGCAGAACATGTACGAGCCTGCGAAGTTGATTAATCAAGTTTTGGGGAAATGACCACCATTCGACGTTATGAGGTATTATCGGAAGATGATAACGTGGTTGGAGTCCGAATTTGAAGTCACGTACGAGTCTACAGAGGCGGAGGTTGTTTTCTTCTCTCGAGCATTTCTTCTCTAAGTGATCGGAGAGATGTTATAACCAGACAAATTCGGTAATTTGGCGCACACACAATATCTACAATATTTGGAAGACTTCGCCGTGTGTTGTAATACCAATTGGGGCTTAACGATTTTGGCGTTTCTTTATCGGGAGTTTTCCAAGGTCGCACTTGCTCAACTGAGTCGAAAAGTCGATGTAGTAGGTTGTCTGATGCTGCTACAGTCATGGGCTTGGTATCGCTTCATGTTTTTGACGTCAATTACAAATGCCCCAGTCGAGTTTTCGTTGGCTAGAAGGTAATTGTTTAACTTCATTTATTTAATTTTTTTGAATTTTTTGAATTTAATTATTTTTTATTTGTTTATAATATTTTTTTTATTTTTAAATATTTTAGATTGCGTAATAAAATAACGGAGATGAAGTTGGCAGGTGCCACTGCACTAGACATACGGATGAGGATCAACATCGTCGGTCGATTCGAGTATGGCGTACTCGACGAGTCCCGCAACATTATCATTCGATAACTCATCGGCATCGTCAAGAACTTCGAAGACAGAGATAAATTTTCTTTGTAATTTTCATGTAAAAATTTATTTATTGCATTAATAAAATTATTTTTCTTTTTCTTTTAATTTGTTTTAAATTTTACCCAAACGAACTCATCACCTCGAGATACGAGTTTCAAGTTACCGTTGTTGACTGTTCCCTCATTTATCCTTTGACCAACGCCTAGTAATTTTGAATTTGAAAAAACTTATCACGTCGACATAACGATTTTCTCTATTTTTTTAAATTTATATACCTATTTTTAATTTTTTACAAAAAATATATTTTTATTGGATTCGTCACCACATCGGCGTGACGGGTGATTAAAACTAAAATAAAATAATCACCCACGTAGGGCACACAATATGGGGACCATTAAATATTAATATTCAAGTAAACTCATCACGTCGATATAACGAGTTTAATGTTTATTTTAGAGAATGCCATATTTATTAAAATAATTTTTGAGTAAACCCAATACCCTAAATAATTTACATAAATATTTTTTTATTTTTAAATATTAATATTAATGTTTATTTTAATTTTTTTAAATTTTACCTAGGCGAACTCATCACCTAAAGATGACAAGTTCCAAGTTACCGCTTATGATTGTTCCCTATCCATCTTTTGACCAACGGCTAGTAATTTTGAATTTGAATGAACTCATCACATCAACGTGATGAATTTCTCTATTTTTTAAAATATATCTATCATCTCAGTGGCATATCCAAAAATATTTTTTTAGGATAGACACACATGTCTTAACGACATAAAAATTTTAAATGAGATGGGTACAAATAAATTTTCAGGGCAGGAACCGTTCGTAAAATAAGTAACTAATCGAAGAAAACTCCGATTTTAGAGTGCTCGAAAATTTTCAAGATGGACACCATCAATAAAATAAATAACTAATCGAAGAGAATTCGGACGTACCAACCTCAACAAGTTATGGATCCGCCACTGTATCATCTTGGGGCCTGCTCAAGGGATTCTGCACTCAAATTTTCTATCATACAGCAGCTGACATTAACATTAAACATAACCAACACAAAATGCAGAATTTTTCTACAAATGCTAGCCATTTTCAAAGCTAAGGGAGAGCAATCAAATTTGTATATTTACCAGAATAGTCACATCAACACCAAACTCATCAGATTCTTCAGCTTTGATTGCCTCAAACTTGGACTCTTTCCAGGGTGGTTTTTTTTAAGATGCAATGTGTTAAGTCATATATCGAAGTGATTATATTTATGGTGTCTACTTCTCTGTTTGATTGTTAGTTCCTGCAAAGTCATAGGCTCCAAATGGCAATGGTAGATTTCCATCTCACATTCAACCATGATTAAGGAAGTTAAATCCAAAACACAAATAGAGAAAGAAAAGGAAAAGGAAAAGAATCTGTCAATTTACATTAGAAATAGAACAGAGACCTGTGGTTTAAATTTTGCAGTATTTTCCTTGTAACCCTTTCTTCATATGGTATCCCTGAATTCCATGCAAAAGCTAATAAATGAGAGTCAGAGAGCACTGGACCCTTTCTGAACATTGATAATTGCAACACCCCATGTGTTGAGGAAAACCAATTGCTTAGCGTTTTCCATTGTTCTTTCTTCCTTCAGAGTTGAAAAGAGGCCCATGCATGTGCATTAATATTTTGTTCACAATAATCTCTTTAACGTCCATTGAATGAACAATATACATAAGAATTAATGGCATAATATATTGGTTTCCAAGATTGGTACAAATCACTGTTTTGCTTTCAAAAGGAGTTTTGGCCGTCCAACAAGGCATCAAAATCAAGAAGGTGAACCGGGTTCTGAGGGGAATACCCGTATTTGGTGTATTATCCGTTACTATGCTCACTATTCCAAATTATAAAATACTAGTAGAAGATGTTATTTTAATTTAGTGCATAAGTAGTAGAATAGTGCAAAAGTGCATGTCTAAGCTTTGTTCTAAGAAAAACTTGGTATTTTGAGAGTGTCACGCACCACCTTTATTTCCTCAAAACAACTCATGCAATATTCATTATTTTACTCATTATTCTAATTTATAAAATATTATGAAAAATTGGCATTCTAGTGCAGAAATTATAGAGTAAAATTTAGTAATCTTATGAAGATAGGATAGGACTTTTTATTATAAAATCAATTATCCAAATCAACGTAATTGATACCATTAGACAATTGATTTTCGAATTAAGCGACAATTTGCACTATTCTACTACTTTTAACGACGTTTTAAACTTAGTAACCAACGTTACTTTTAACGATAATTTTTATTAAATATATTTGTTTACTTTAAAATTAAGCGAACCTGTTAAAACAACAGGATAAATCTCGAAAATAAATTTATTTACTTATCTCAAATTTTTCAAGATTTTCGAATCGTCTCGGATTTATTTTTTCTAGAAAGGTAGAAGATATCATTTGTCTTAAGATTGTTAGAGGTATAACAATCCGAGACGAAAAGAAAAAAAATTAAATATTTTATAGATCCACAATTTGCTTCCATGGTGATTCATACAAGTCGCGGCAAACGACATTCAATTCCTCGGTAGGATCTCGTAAAATTTGTGTACATAAATCAATAATAAAACAAACACAATTAATATCATGGAAAAATATTTGATTAAATAATCTGAATAGAAAATTATAATTATATGAATAAAAATAAGTTGAGGCCTGTAATTATGCAGTTTCCTTAAGACAGATTTTCGGCCACTCCTTGGTGCTTGAGGTCTTTGATCTTCTGTCCCCTATGATACAACAACGAGATGATCAACGTACAGTAGCACAACTGTTGAAATAACGAACTATTCTTTGTCTTTGCCTCTCATCGAAAAAAACTAGAGGAGAGCAATTGGAAATTTAACCTAATAGGTTAACAATGTATTTAAGGGAATTCACATTGTAAACAATTGTAAATTTTTGACCTAATGAAGCATTAATAAGAATCAAACAATTTTCAATATTACTGTTTTAATTAAAGGAATTTTTTTAATATTTATCCCTTTAATTCCAAAACAAATTTTGGAAAGATATACTCTATTTGAGGGGGAAATATTTCACATTTGAGTTAAAATATTCACAAGCCCACAAAAGGCCTGACCGATTCGGACCTTAACGTTACCAACATCGTGCATGTCAGTACATTTACGAACCAACAATTGGTTTCACATTTTCCTCAACAACGTTTGGATCAATTTCTCATTCAAAACTCCAAAATTATCGAATTTTTACAACAAACAAATATCATGTTGTGTGAAACGGGGAAATATCAAAGAAGTTTCTCAGTTTTTTTTTTGGAACTTTGCAGTTTCTGTCTTTAGGATACCTCGAAGGGCCAAAAGGCCTCTGTTTTCGCTTGATGTTTGCTTGGTTATATAGCTTTCAACATCACTGTTTTTGGTAACCAATGAGCCGTTATTGTACTTTGTCTCTGATCTTAGATATTATTCTAACAATGTGACATAGTTCACTCAAGGGGCCTAGACAATATATATATAAATTTAAAATTTTTATGGGGGCGACAGTTCAGACGCTTCGCTCGGTCCATCACTGTAGACAACAAGCTAAACCTGACAGCTTTGTTTCTTCTCGTAACTTGATTCCTGTCTCTCGTGATATGGGAAGAAAACGCGTTGTAAAGCAGTATGCGTTTGACTGGGAGCAAGAGAATTTGCTAGGAAAGTTCCTCATAATCACTTGAATTTGAATTCAGGAACTTTTAGATGCTTCCCAGATATTCTGCTTTATAAAAGGATCCCCAAGCAAGTAACCTAGTCTCATGCTAAGTGAAAAGCAGCAGCAAAGTGTAAAAGAGAAGGGAAAAAAACATGATGGAGATCGAGGAAGTATACAACTACGAGGCACTGCCACTTCTCTCATTGAATCATGTCTCGTTGCTGTGTAGATCGGTTCCGGAATCCGTGAGGTTTTACGAAGAAGTCTTGGGATTTGTACTCATCAAACGCCCCTCTTCTTTCAAGTTCAATGGAGCTTGGTAAGCTTGATACTGCTTTTATTTAAACCCTCCTAAAGAAAAATCCAGTTTTTCATGAAACAGTATAGTAAATGACTGATTGGTCCCCTTTTATGTCATACAAGTTGTATAATTATGGCATTGGGATACACTTAATCGAGGATCCATCGATTGATGATTTCGACACCGTTGTCGAACCCCGTCCGATTAATCCCAAGGATAACTACATATCCTTCCAGGTATAATATATGAATTCGAATCGAATATATCAGAAATCAAGTCTGCTGCAGGCTGCACCTTTGGTTTATAACTAGTTATTTGTTGTGTGATGATGACAGTGTACTGATGTTGGCCTTGTCAAGGGGAGACTCGAAGGCATGGGCATGAAGTATGTCACGGCGGTGGTCGAAGACGAAGGCAACAGGGTCGACCAGGTGTTCTTCCATGACCCGGATGGGTACATGATTGAGCTCTGCAACTGTGAGAACATCCCAATCATTCCTCTTGCTTCTTGCTCACTCGAACCAAGGCTAAGAAGTTTCACCAAGACCGCACCGGCGAAATGCGGTTTCATGGAGAATGCGATGATGGAGAGCTTGAGCATGGAAATGCTAAACATTTCATTTTGAGGTGCACCAAAAGTTCAAAACAAGAAAACGGTGAACTTCACTTTCTTTTTCCCAGCTACTGCAAGCTGCAACTGTCTTTTTACAGGTTTTATAATGGTGTCTGGTGTCTCTCTGGTTTCATGAAGAAATTGTATTGTTTAGTATATTTCAATAAGGTTGTGAGTTTAACCAAGCTGTAATCACAATGCAATATATACATATACCCTATTAGCCTAGATTGAGGCTTCTGATATTGATCAAAAGAACGAAACAGATTATCTGCAACAAAGGTGAGTGCCATTGTTATTTGTGAAAAACCATGGGATCAAATATTGATTTATCTTATCCAGTGCAAGACAACATTGATTTATAAATAATAGTACTGTAATACATTGATTGAACTGTCATCCATTGGCATTTGTCCATTTTTTGTAGGAAGAAGTGCATGCTTCTTGCTCGAAGTAATGGGGTATACTTCTGGACCATGGACATTCCTACTAACTCTAGCTGGACATTTAAGAGAATCATGAAGCTTCGATCCCTTGCTTATCCTATTCTGACTGCAGGATTTAAGTGTACTAAAAGCTTATGGGAAGATGTTCGATTGAAGAACAGCAAAGTTTCCTGGCAGAAACTGATCTGGTACCCAATGCACATCCCTAAGCACAGCATCATCACTTGGATGATAATTCTGGACCGTTTGCCCACTAAAGACAGACTGCTGAAGTTTGGAATCATTGTTAATCCTCAATGCATCTTATGTTCTGAAACTAACGAAACCAGAAATCATCTTTTTGCTGATTGTAAGATGGCTGGCTCCATCTGGCGTTCTCTTATTCTTTCAGGTATTCACAAATCTCAATTATCCTGGTCTAACTTGTTGATCTGGGCGTCTGCAACTTGGAAAGGAAAATCACTTATTACCAGCGTTTTAAAGCTCTCTTGGTGTGCTTTCAACTATACAATTTGGGAGGAAAGAAATCATCGGCTTTTCAGAGGTACTTATAGAACCGAGGATGAAGTTCTTGCAATCAAACACATTATTAGTACTCACTTAAGTAGCAGAAACATTAATAGATTAGATAGCGCTAATTTAGATTTATGTAACAATTGGGGTATAGTTTGATTTTGTTGTTCATAGTTTACCCTTGATTTTGTTTCCATTGATTGGATTGGTTCTTTTGTAGCAGTTTCTGCTTCCTTTGGATAATAAAAATCTTATTTATCCAAAAAAAAATATAATGATGGTTCTTGCCCACCTACCATTTTTCTCATTACTTGTTAAACCTCATCCTCGTCCTCATCCTCATCCTCATCCTCATCCACCATAACCAATCAATCATAGCAAGAGCCAAGGGGATTTTATAATGTATATACATCAGTAAATCAACGTGTTCGATATTTTTCCAGGTCTTGAAAGCTAGATTTTAAATGCAAGTAAACACTTGGGAGCTTGGCTAGTTGTTCATAGTTGTAGACTTGTAGTTAATTTTAAAGAACATTTAGAGAATCTAATTTCTTTTTTTTCATTGAAAATATAGGATTTATGAACCACCAAAGATGAATTATTGGATTAGGATACCATAACCATGGAAAAACAAGATATGCTTGCTGTATGAGAAGATATCAGCTGACACTTCAATTTGGGAGTAGATTGTGGAACAAATTAGGTAGAAATGAAAGAGAGAAGATGCTAGTCTTCTAGAAAGAGCTGGGTCCATGGCAGATATGTGACTGTTGGGCAAGATTAAAGGGCAAGAGAGGTTCTCAACCCCACAAAGAAGTCCTAAAAAACCCAAGTGACCCTCTTTGAAGAACTTGTGGTGTATACATCGAGTGAGCGAATTACCATACGAGTTGACAAAAACAAAACTCTCCTCCACTCTATACAGTCCAATCCCATTTCTCTCTTTCCCCCATCCTTCTCCAATCTCTTGTTATTTTTATAAAGGAAAAAGAAGAAAACCATAATCTTGTTTCCCTTTTATTCCTTTTTTATCATCAATCCTTGTCCCTTGTCATCATCATCATCACTCCCCCTAAACACCAACAAAAACAATAGCTGCTTTCTGGTTTTGATTGGGAGAGGATGAGAGTGAGAGAGCATTATGAGAATACTTTGTGACGCTTGTGAAAGTGCTCCTGCGATTGTCTTCTGTGCTGCCGATGAGGCTGCTCTTTGTCGTGCCTGTGATGAAAAGGTCGGTTCTTTCCTCCTGTTACTACTACACGCTCCGGGTTGTGTATTTGTTTAGTTCTTAACTGGACCCCATGTTTGATTTTTGTTCTCTACTGATCTTCTTTGTTGGAAGCATGTTTTTTTTTATTATAGTTTTCTTGCAAGTGCAATTGTTTTACTTGATGTTTTGTCTTTTTTAAACCAACCCAATAAAGGCCCTTATCTTCTTCTTCAAGATTGATCTTTTATGCGGTCTATTCTGTGTAAATTCTCATCTGAGATTCCAAATTTTTTTACGAGTATTCCAATGCATTGAAAAGGGATGCTTTTTCAACATTGTCTAGAATTAAAGTTCTTACATTGTTCTAGATTGTTCTGGAAAATGGAAACTTTGCTTTGAACGATTGATGGATGATGTTACAGGTCCATATGTGCAATAAGCTTGCTAGCCGCCATGTCCGGGTGGGCCTAGCAAATCCCAGTGATGTTCCTCGCTGTGATATATGTGAATATGCACCTGGTATGCAGGTGTAGGTGGTGTTTGTGTCATTTGCTTTTCATTTTAAAGCTTTTTGCTTTAAAAGCAGATCTGTATAAGTTTTGCTTAAAATTTATGTTCATTTCTTGGAACTATGTATGTAACTTTCTTTTACTGCGAGATAGATGGAAGTTCCCTTTGTTTGCAATGTGATGTGATTGTGCATGTTGGAGGTAAAAAAAACCCATGGAAGAAATCTTCTCTTAAGGCAGAGAGTATAGGTTTGTCTCCTATATCTTTGACAAGAATTCAGTCATATATTACATTTCTCCTGCGTTTTAAGTTTGCCCTTTAGGAATTTTATTGGCTTGTTTCTTCTGCAGTTTCTGGGGGATATTGCGGTGGATCGGAGTGTGAACGGAATAGGCCAAAATCAGCCGGCTAAACCTACGATAGGAGAGAACCAACAAAATCACAAGATCTTTCTTGCACAGATGGCTGCTAAAGATCTCAACACCGATACTAAAATCGATTTGAATATGAATCCTCATCGAATGCATGAGCAAGCCTAAAACAATCAGGTTGGAACTGTTTTCACTTTTTCTCCTTTCTCTTTCACACAGCATTTAGAACACATTATCTTGTTCTTTCAACATCCCATTATGGAGAGACATTAGGTACATGTGTTGTTAGGATGCCTCTCAAAATTTCGTTTTGCATGTGCAATGATCATGCCTTTGTTTTGATGCATGAAAAAGACATGCATATATAATGAGTTCCTCTTTAACTTTTGATAAAGTTATTTTGTTTATATATCCAAAAAGGAAGCGTGATTTTTTCTGCCATGTGTAATAGGTGCAAGCATTCCGAGCAATTCGTAAATTAGAATTTTTAAATGACACAAAGATCTCTCATTTCAGGTGATGCTCAGAACTGTGCAGGTGAAAGGTAAGTAATCGACCGTACTTATAGATGGTTATATCTTCTTTTATCCCCTTCATGTTAACTGGTATGGGCATAAATGGACACATTAAATATTCAAAAGCGGTAAACCTGGCTTGTTTACCGGCGGTTTCCGGTGCCGCGAGGCATGTAGCGAGATTATAGGGCATCAATTATCTAATAGAAGTGTGATTCAAATTAGAATTTTTACTGCGGGAAATTTATAATGCTGTTGATGCTGCATGTTATTGTTATCGACAAATTTGCGGCCCATTAGCTATGAGGATAACAGCAAAGATGATCTTCATAACTTATACATGATTTATAATTTTATCAATGTTGTCTTCTATGGATTTGATTCAAAACAGCCTAGTAATCATAAACCTTGAAAAACGATCCTTGTTTGGCCTCCTCGGACTCTCCCTTGCCTGTGTACTTTCCAAGTCAGGCAAGAGAAATGTTTTTTGCCCGAACAAGCAGTGCTTCCTGAGCCTACTTCACGTTCTCAGGCCTGCCTTCCCACGTCTTCAGGCAAGTATTTTGAAGCCCTCTTGTGTATGAGACCGACGCATTCCATGGATTTGGTGCTTGGTTCATAGCATTCAAGTTCAAGGTAGCCTCAATTTCAGACTGCCCACCAGACAAAAACTGTCAAAACCAAGACAGATTAATCATTAACTGCCGAGTTTCGCCGTGTAAAAAACTTGCAGGTTTATAGTCAATCACCATGATTCCAGGCACAGCTGGAGGGATTATGTGGCGGAGGAGGCTGAGTGTGTAGCTAGCAACTTGTCGAGAGTAGCTCAGTCCTTGCACTCTGCACCAGGAGTGTCCATGCTTGGCTTGAGAAGGATACCTTCAAACATCACATTGTTCTGGGCAAGATAGAAGAAAACCCCAACCCACACCTTTTTGGCTACTTCGAAAGTCCTACGATTCTGTGATCACCATCAAGCAAGATCTTTGACTCAACAATTGGAACCAAACCAATGTCCTGCATGGCCAAACACCAACTCATCCAATGGAATAATGTAATCAAGACAGTCTTGTAATAAGATCCCACACCCTCATACTCGTATCTGAGAGACAGCAGCATAGTGAGTGAATCCCCAAGGTGCTTCCTTCACAGCAACTTCAGATGGTTCACTGGGAATGCTCACGACGGTACTCCTATAAATACCATAGAAAGATAAACATTATGGAAAGCAACTTAAAATAGTTGAACATAAAGTGGGAAATGGGATAAAGTTTTACCGTTTCGCAGAGCTCCTTGTTGGTAGTATGCAGCAGAATGTGAGGCGAGGCCATCCAGACCTTGGCACCATGACTCGTTGTTTGAGCCAGCCAGCAGAACAAGATCCCTACAGTATTCATATTATCGAGCTCTTACTATAGATAGTACTTAGCATTAAATTTGAACTACATAGTGGGTATTCCTCCCACAAATGGGAGACGAGACTTTACCTAGTCGACCTTGATACCAGGACTATGCTCTGCTAAACAAGAACATTGACCATCTTTTCACCATAGATCGTGTATTGGTAAAGGGTATCCTCAAAGAGGATGGCACCTGAGATGCACTGACCAATTCCAGGAGCTGAAACAAGCAATTTCCTATAGGCTTGACGGTTAGCCTCTGGGGGTATCCTCAAAGAGGATGGCACCTGAAATGTAATGACCAATTGACGCCGAACGTTTCTCACAGGTAGCGACTCATCCATGGCCAAAATTCCACGGCCTGGAGAAGCAATTGTTTTCTACAAACATCTCAACAATCCCATGTACGTAAAATCATTGTTTCTTCCGAAAATTGTTAAAAGCTTATAATATCTTCCCCCCCCCCCTTGTGTTGGCATATTTTAAGCAAATTGTGGAAGAGATTACAATCATTGGCATGAGCAAGCACGCACGCATGCAGAGTCCAGTGGGAGCAACAGGGTGGCACCTCACCGCAGAAACTGAAGGTTGGCAAAAGGTCTGACCCTTAACCCACTCGGACTTGTGACAATAAATGGTCCCATAGTGAAGAGATCTGGCAACTACAAGCCTAGGGTACTACCAACTAAATAAATAAACATTCAGACACCATAAGCTCACAAATTGACACACTGGACAAAAATTGTCAAATGTCTTGAAAGCAAAGACGGGAGGTTCCAATTAACCATCTGTCCTACTGATATACGCTCACAAACAAGTAGTCTTTGTGAGCGTTGAAGAAGATTCTGCAGTTCATAAATCAAGTTGTAAAGTTGATGCAGTTACTGGATGGCACCCTTTTATAAAAACATAGCCATGAATAATTTAGTATCCTCTTACAGGACCCAAGACAGCTAATGCAAAGGCAATTTCAGTAAAGGTGAGAAACAATGTTGCATCCTCAGAGAAAGAAAAATTACAGAATATACATGGTCAATGTATTCTACAGCACGAATCAACTATACAAATCAATACATTACTGTACATTTATTGTTTCTTCCCCACATTGTTTATAAATTTTATTCGTGCATCAATGATTAAGTATAATCCACTTTCGGATGCAGAAGAACAACCTATCGTCCAAGAGATGGCTCGTCAAGACTGGAAAAGAGTCAACGTTGCAATATAGCCATTCTTCATTACCTGCTAATAGCAAAAGATTTATATTAGCAATTCTTTCACAATATCTCTAAAGAGAATATTATCAAAATATGGGTTGTGCCAAATGCTAAAAAGCAAATCAAGCGGGGAGACAAACTTTTACCTCAAATCCAGCATTTGGGTAGCCATATACAAAAGTAGAGCCGAAAGGATTGCTGGTAGAACCTTGTGTTTGAATAGCCGCACGGCCACAGTCACCAAGGTGTTCCTGAAATAAAGTATCATACTTAGTGACAAAAAACACTGGAATGAAGCAGGACCGGTGAAGGCACCAGGCATAAAGAGAGATTGATGTTAAGGAAAAATATCAGGATGTTCCCAACTGTAAAAAGTTACCTTGATCAGCTCCTACTTGGTGCTTGGAGTAATTCGGTTTTTGTAGTTGTTTACATCTGGGAAGGACCCCTCAACTGCAGGCAAGAAACAAAAATAATAGATCAATCACCCTCACCAATATTTGTAATGATAAAATGCTTAAGAAGGGGGATTGTCAGAACCTAGGATAACAAAATTGCACTTAATGTATGAATTGAAATCTGCATGACCCGGATAGTTAGTGTGTAAAACAAACGTCTTGACTTTATGAGTCTGCAAAATCAAAAAAGCATTCTAAGAATTTATGGACAACATTAATTCCAAGATTACAATGTTTGTAACTGTAGATAACATAGGAATATTAGCCAGAAAATATATCTAAATGCTTTCTTACTTAACCATGTAGGAATCAAAAAAATGTGGGAAGGTTCCTTCATTCTTTGGGTGTTACAAGTATATGTTTCAAGTACCTGGCCATCAAATAAGATGTCCACGCCACGAGTAAAATAATTGTAGAAATAATAGGCACAAAGTGTTGTCCGAGGACGACGATCAGAAGCAGAGTGAATAACCATTTGGTCAACCTGTTGACAAAATAATTATTGCCATGAGGGTAACATGCAAAAAAATCACGCATAAAACGTTATCATACTCATACAAGAAATTGAAAACCCATTCACTCCATAAATGAATGCAACTAAGAAAATATATCATGCCTAATTAATTAATAGGCTATGTTCGGCAAATGCTTTTGCTTTTTCTGTGTGCTCTGGTTTTAGCTTTTTATTTTGTCCTCGACAAAGAAAATATCAACTAGAAAAAACATCAATTAAAAGAAATGTAGCGTCCGATGCGGCAACTCCATAGGTGAAAACTTAATGTATATAACTAGTGTAAAAACCCCATAGCACATTTCAAAGTTTCCATGTAACGTTATTAGTTATTACCTGCTTTTGATGGATTCCGCAAGGACAACCTAATTCAGACCAGTCATCCTGCCAACTTTTCAACAGACATAATCCAAAAATTGACTCTAGAAGGATGGAAAATAGAAAGGTATTGAGGCACCAAAATGAGATAGATGACTCGTTAACAACAGGACTAAGGAAGGTAGAAGTCAAACCTTGGCATGCACCTCTTCCATGTAAAGGCTTCCAGTTGGTAATGGAGGAGCAGACGCCTTATCCATTAAGGATCCAATGCCAACTTTTTTGCCTGCAGAACTATCATAGATGGATACACGGCAGGTAACTGGGGTAGTTCCAACAGGAAATTCCAAAGGCAATTCCGCTGCAAGTAAAAGAACAAAATTAATTAGAAGTTGACAGTTGAAGAGTAGGTGTGACATGTAATCAGGATAAACAAATAAAAACCTTCTCCATCACGACAGCAATCTGAATATTGACTTGGAATAGGAAAAGCAAATGAAAGACCCTACAAAATAACAGGACAAGAAACTGCAGACTCAGAGACAAAACCAGAAGAAAAACCATGTTCACCATCAAAACATACAATTTTGAAATTTGGAAATAAACCTTAGGGGCTTAACTTTAACCTATCAAAGAAGTGGCATAGTGCATTTGGAGACGTTTGATATCAAAAATTTCAATAAGGCGTAACCTCTAGCACAGAATCCAAAATCAAAACAAATAAAAATAAGGAAATCAAGTTGAAGGAAAAATAAAATAAAAAAAGGGTCTATAATGATGTGTGTGAGCGCAAACTGAAAATAAAACCTGAGACCAAGGGTCAAAACGGAGATGGAAGCCGTGATCTGGAAAACTTATTACAATATCAAGCTTTAGACCTCCTGCGCACAAATACATAATAAGGTTGGCATCAATGTTATACTTGTTGGGACTAACTACATAGTTACTCTGCATACAGTCTTTTACAGCTAAATCATGGAAACAATTGTAATTGAGGCAATACTGTACAGATATTGCGACTATCCAAATTCCACATTAAAGAGTTCCCCTCGCCAAATTACTAAAACATGACATGACAGTAAGCAAAAATATTCAATGATCCTTCTATTTATTTAAATTTATTTAAATATATGTTGTTTAAATATTTATGACAGTAAGATTTTTGTAAACGATTATATGTTGTTTAAATATTGGGAATTACGAACTTCGAAAATATATTTAAATTATGATCCTTCTATTTATTTAAATTTATTTAAATAAGTGTCAATTAAAAAAGCAACTTAAAACTGAGGAATGCAATGGATCAAAAAGATTAAATAGCCCAAAAATATTTTTATAGAATAGAAAATATTATAATTATTTATTATAAAAGTATATATGTATATATAACAATTATGAATCATGACTTACCTGTTGTCCGGTTAGAATAGAGATGACCTGAAAATGGCTGGATTAAAACGAACTCGGATGAAGCAGTTCGTCAAAAGGATAACATGGCCTCCGCTGGTGGATTCAGGATTTTAAAAAACGGTTCGCGACCGCGATTTCGGCCGCGATATAGCGGTTTCGCCGTTGTCCGAGTTACTCGCGACGGCCGCAATAGCGTCCGCGACGGCCGCAATCACGGTAAATCTGAAATAACCGAAAACACGACCACGACCGCGATTTGAAACCCTAGGTGGATTGTTACTTAATTCGAAGGGGATTGGATCTTCCGATTCACTCGGAGCGTGGGAAAATGCTCAGTCCTAGTTGCGAAGTTATGGGCGCGCAATTCACGATATTTTGTCCCATGCTTGGAGATTAGGTGTTCGACAGGTTAAGTTGGAAACCGATAACATGGAGACTTCTAAGATTTGCTATAAGTCGTCGAGAGCTTTAGCGGATAGCACCTTGCTTGCTACTATTTCAGACCTCTGAGATCGAGATTAGACGATAAAGGTTCAAGTCCACGGGCGTGGCTGAACCAACGCATAATGCGCGATGGCGCAGGGCCTAAAAAAACAAGAGCCCCGAAATAGAGTATATCTATCAGTTGTTGTCATTAAAAACCAGAAAAATAAGTATAGATTAGTTGTTAGATCCTTGTGCCAATGACTTTGTTGATCCTAAATTTAAATCTCGTTAACAAATAAAATTACTTTTTGAGAAAAACAATGTAAGTGGGCCCCTATTTTTTAAGTTAATGAAATTAGTCATTTATTATTTTAGAAAAATAAGTTCGAGATCTAAGGATATTTTTATAAGAATTTGCATAGAGGGCCTCCAACAACCTAGCCACGGCATTGGGTTCGACATATATGTCATTAACAAAATGTTGCAACTGATAAATTGCTTACTTTGAGTCGTGGTAACGCCATTGGTGAACTCAAATTCTTAGAACACCCAATCGAACTCTTAACTATCCTTTAAGATGATATTGTTGCTTCTAGTTAATTTTAGCAATACTTGTGTTAGTAAGAAAAATCAATTTGAAATTTAATTTACGCACTTAAAAGTGTATTAAGTCTTATATATACATATTTTTTGTAATAAATATAATAATTAATATATTTTGTAATAAAAACAATAGTTAATATACTTTTATAAAAAAATAGTTAATTTTAATGATTGTCTAATATTTAGTGACAAGAGTATTTAAAATAAATATTATTTTATAATTATTTTAGCTTAATAAAAAATTAATTTTATCAATAACATAGTAATTTTTAATCACTAACGATTAGTTGGTTTATTGACAAGGACGGACCCACGTTATAAGCTGGAGGGGCAATTGCCCCTAACTTTCTATGGTCTAATTGCATTTTAGGCCATTGGAATTTTTGAAACTATTGTAATTTTGTCTATTGTAATTTTGTCTCTCTCAAAATTTTTGATATAATTATTTCCGAGATAGTTTCAGTTTTAAAATTAATAAAATTAAGCCTTAAGTCATTTCCGCCAGCAACTGGTTCCGCATGAGCCACTACTGATGCTGTTGTTGTTGAAAGTGGTGGTGATTCTGCACAAAATTCCTCTGCAGGTACTGTTGTTGGGGCGGCCTGGAATGAAAGCTAGGGTTTGCATTCAGTCCGCCGCCCCGGCCAACGCCGATTCCCGGTGGATACCTTCCTCTACTATCCACATCACATCCCAAGACTAAAAAAAAAACAAAATTCAAAATCCTAGAAAAATGGAAATCTGTACTCAAACTGCAAAACTTAATTTTAAAGCAAAAGAAAGTGGTAACGCCTTAAATAGTGGCAAACCGAGTGTCAAATATCAAAACAAATGAAGCTTGAAGTTGAGGTAGTTGTTGAAATAAAGAGGAAAATTTGAAAGAATTTTATGTAGAAATTAATTGATTCGCAAAAAAAAAAAAATCGATTCGTCGTAACAAATGATGAGAGAGTAGAGAAGATTCATAGTCAGATTCTGGGTTTTAATGAGATAAAAATAATAAATTTATTATAGTTTTTAAAATTTGATTTAAGGATTGAAGTGCTTGTATTCTCTCTTAAATTCCCTGCCTTAATATGCTGTAGTTTGAAGGTTCGATCCTCCTTGAAAGCAGATTTAATTTTCAATTGTTTTGCTTACCAAATAAGGCGGTGATATGTGTCACCATCTGATTGGATGTAAAATAAAATAAAATAAATAATTAAAATTGATAAAATATCATCCAATCTGTGTCACCATCTAATTGGAGATTAAATTTATTAAATTGAAATGTATAAACATTGAGGAGCAAATGTGTAATTTTACCAATCTTATTAACTGCCACATCATCACTCCCGTTAGATGTTAACGGTAAGTGATCTGAATGAATACATTTAAATAGTTGGGTGATCTGATTGACAAAAATTCAAAAATGATGGTCAAAATGAAAAGGAGCTATAATTAGGTGGTCATTGGTATAGTTTACCCTTTTATTATTTTTAAGACATTTGAATTTTAAATTTAGTAAAATTAAATCTTTAATCTCTTATTTTCATGATTTAATGAGTTTTTTAAGATCTATTTAATTTAAAGTTTAACAACTTATCCCCTCATTGCTCAATTTTGACTCTATATATATTTAGTGGAATGAGACATAATATCTATTAAGAAATATCACAAAATTCAATGAATTATAACGTCGTAATGGAATAATTAAATTAGAAAGATTACTTTTATAATAGAGCTCAATAATTCTTAATCTAAATTATTTAATTAATAAATTAAATACAAATGTGGTTTAAAAATTAATTTCATGCCTTGGTTACAGATAGGGATGGACACCCAACCTGAACCTTACCCGATCGGATTTTTTTTAAAAAAAAATTAGATTCGGATCGGGTTTGATCAGATTTTTTTAAGTATGATATTCGGGTCGGGTAGGGTTCGAGTTTAGGGTGAAAAATACCCGACCCGACCCGAAAAGATATATAATTTTACCTTAAATATTTATGAATAATTATAATAATACCCCTAGGGATGGCAACTCAACCCGAATCCGACTGATTCCGATCCGACCCGACCCGATCTGGTCGGATTTTTTTCAAAAAAATTCGGGTTTCGGGTCGGGTCGGGTTTTTTTTTAAATGTACTGTTCGGGTCGGGCGGTTTTCGGGTGAAAAAAATCCGACCCGACCCGACCCGAAATATATATAATTTTATCCTATATATTAGGGATAATTACAATAATGTCCCTCCATATATAATTTTTTTCAATTAAGTCATTGGTTTCATTGAATA